CTATGGCACTCACTGAAGCTGCGGTATCCTCGACGACTGAACCGAGTCTGAATGCATCTTATCTTTGTGATGTGTGCGACAGATTAAAAACAAGGCCAGAAAATATAGATGATTGGAACTGTCGTTAGCACCGCTGACTGCATTTTCCCAATTACTCTGGATATCTTCCGTATACGTCTCCTCGGTAATTCTACCTGATTATGTTCATTTGGTCAAAGTTATTCCGAAGTATGGCATTTATGAGAAAATTAGGTTGTTTGTGAAACTGGATGACGGGAAATACCATTACATCACAGTGAATCATTGAAATACTCTTATTTAGTTTAACTGGCAATTCATTGCACAGTATTAACCAATTATCCAATTGTCATTGGAATCTCTCAACCTGAAATGTTTTTAGTACTATTTTGAGGACTTACCGACTGGTTTTCAGCTTGGGAGAGGTCGAATCATCCGTGGCCGTGAGGAACTAGAAAAACAAATGAAAGTTGGCATCATGATAGAATAGAATCTGAGTAGAATTTTTCAGACTTTATAAAAAGGAGTATTGGGGGACACGACGGAAAACATTCATCTCAGTTGAATGATGCCATCGAAATTGGATTAGATAGTTGGACAAGGAAGTTTGTGTGAGATAGAGTACACGCTTACCAGTAGAATTACCAAAGTAATATCAAGAAACAACTTGGAGTAATTCAGCTTGTTTTGCTTTATTCATGGTATAGTTTAGTAAATGCTGTGCGCTATTTTTTCCATACCGACTGGAAACAGCAAACGAACATTTTGTAATATATTGCTATACAGTTTCTGTCAGGTTCAAAGATGCACCACTTCTAGTCAAGTGAACTAAGGCAATAATACTACGAATACGGATGCAGCATTACATGATGTTACTTAGTGGACTGCCTAAAAGCGGCTCGCGTACCACTAAGAATATTATTCATATTGATTGAAACTTCATCTTCAAGCAAAATCCTCGGTTTTTCCAGTCAACCGTACACTCGGAAGAACTAGACTTGAGTTTCGATCTTATTCGAGCTCATCATTGAGGGCGTGTGTGTTCGCATTGGGCGAACCGGATCATACTAGACCTGAACCGAATTGCCAATTCATGATTAATCGGGTGTCATCTTCCGGGGCTAGTCAGTCGGTTCGAGTGTATGGTGGACTGGGAGAAGGTGATGTCTGAAGGATGGTCAGTTCAAATCAATATCGGTTATCTCACACCACTACTCACAAGTAACTGTGAGTTAACTATGCATACTGTTCAAATTACATCAATTTGGCGGTTCATGATGAGACAGTCTGTCGCATCTCGGTATCTGAACCGGATCGTCGCCGCTCACAGATTGGCCTAACCAACTTGTCTGGAAATTCTGTGATAAAACTTTGTCCATTTTTATCCCCTCATCCAAATGACTGACAAGCTGTCAACATTTATGTAGTCTCATGACCGTTTGCTTGCAATCCGTCGAACACAATCACACACACTCGCACACTGCTGATTCATCCCATTCCTCCAGCCACCTACAAACATCAGACACATACTTACACTGGAATATTTCGCAGTGTTGAAATGGATATACAGGCTGAGATCAATTATAAGCTCCGAGAAGCGTTTAAGACATTTGGCTTATTGAGAAATTTGGGTGCGGGGTTTCGATAAAATAGTCAGCTGATCGCTGCTGCATCAGCGGACCGAATAATCTGGCTATTCACGGATCACCAAGCGTCGATTCATTCAGTTCGTTCGCACAACCAAAATCGGGACTGAGGGTAAACAGGGAGGAGGGACAAACAGACAGATAGACA